ACCCACTTAAGTACACTCCAAATATTGCTGTAGAAAAATGGTGTGTATGTGTGGAGAAACACTGTGACCTCAATACATTTCTAAATTGCATGGAAGGAGAAGTTCAAAGTGATGCCCAAATCTGTGCCCCATGTGCTCCCGGGACCGGATGAGGAACACACAGTCAGAGTCCAGCGAGTAGGATGAATATCTGTTTATTGCAATAATCAGGAAAATACAGGACTGGATACCTTAGCACCCAGTGACACCAAGCTGTATTCTGCCCCAACCAGGAAGGGCAGAATGTCTTATACCCCAAATGACATCCCTATTGTTCACACTTCAAGAAATCTGTAATTGGAGCCAAACAGGTAGCATCATTTGAGCTGGCACCTCTCCACTGGTGTACCCCTATGCTGGTCAGAGATGCAAGTATTTGTGTCTGCTTATTTGGTCCCAGAACAGTGAGAAACATCAAGGAACAGTGGGGAAAGCTTCTGTCCTCATTCAGGACTCAGCTACCTCAGCACAGTATTGGGGAGTTTCCTGATAAGGTATAACGATTCACATGGGACTCAGCTCTTGGCAGACTTCCTGGGGCCTAGCTTTACAAAGGAAGATGTTGTTTGGGAACATCCAGATTCTCTGCATCACAGAGCTTTCACTCTCAGATGTCCTTCAACTGGAGAGCTCACAATTACTGAGTATGCTAATAATCTCAAGCCCATTCCATTCTGTTGCTTTCTAATTACTTCTAAAGGCCTCTAAGAGATTATATGTGCTCTTTTCAGTTCTATTTCTTCTAAAAGGAAATGCAACCATAGAATATATATTCTCTTCTATACTTCTATCTGGGCTAAATACTAGGTTCTGAATATACTACGGTCAGGTTTCTAAGAAGGCACAATGGCAGCTGTCAGTATATAAATCAGGAAAAACATCAGAAATCACATTCATAAATCACATGCATTGGACCCTTGTCCTACAAATGGAACAACCTTATCCCTGCCGTTTCCTGTGTTTGCAATGCAAGTGGCTCTGTTCTGGCACTCATCACAAAATGCACCTTCCCAATTCTCCACACTCAGTACCTTTTTGGATTCTGATGGCTTTGGTTTGCTTGCAGTGCTGCTATGGCAGCTTTGCATGAACAACATGTGATTGCTGGGTTGTCCCACTGCACTCTCTCCTTCCTCCTTAGCACTTTACCCTCATGGGCCTCTTTCTCTACTTCTTGTCAACTTCTAAACATTTTGTCTCTAGAATATGCATCAGCACCTTGACCTAATCGGTAGGATTCCTCCGAAATAGCCTTACTTATATTAGACTGTGCTGCCATTCTTGCTCCAGTGAACCTTGACAGTTTTCATTTAAAGTTTATCAGGGCAGTAGAACTCACATATATGGTTGAGGCCGGAGTTTCACTAAAGGGCCTCATAATAAGCAGAAATAAGTTTGTTCTAGAGTAGAAAAAAATAAATATCCCCATAAAACCAGAAGCAACAATCAAACGACACTCTATTTTTTGCAAAATGGTTAGATTTTATGGGATTTTCATTGGCAACTCCCATAACATACAAAGAAATAATAGCGTTATTCTAAGATATATAGCTATACTGTCTATGTGTCAGTCCACACGTGTGTTTAGAGTTCAATGGTTTAAGTTGTAGTTTAAGTTGTAGTTTGGTTTATCTGCATTAACATAGATTTATTTTAGAGGAAAAGACTCGCTGTTAATAGATTGTTTTACAAACTGTACTTACCATGCAAAAGAGAAATGTATTTTCAATTTGCTTACATCAAGATTTATATTTGTATGCAGTGTTATATGAAAATTATAAAATAAAATGCTAAAAAAAAAATAGGCAGAAATTCCCCACAACCTTCCACGAGAAGAGGAATGCCCACATGTGCCAAAATTTTCTATTCTCACAGGGCAAAAGAAAAGAACACTCTGTGGACTCAGCACTGTGAATCATCACCTCTCTTTTGAGTGCTGAGGCAAAACCGCTGCTACACTCACCTGTCTCAGTATCCGTGATGTAGAAGTAAACTGACTGCGATGTCTCTCAACAGCATTCCTGGAGGCGTCATTTATGCTGCTATCAGGGAAATTTATAATTGGGTAAATCTATGAGGGGGAAAAAAACCCTTTCAGAATGTACAGGAGGAAACGGAAGTCTAGACCTAATAATGCCTTAGGGTGGCCTCGCCTCAAAAGTCCCTGGGAAAGCAATCACAAAACAAGGCAAGTGTTGGGTAGCTGCTGGACTGCCATTGTGCTTGCATGATTCAAGGTGAACTGCATACTGAAAACATGCACATATAAGCACACACATACACACAATGAAAGTAAGCTCTCTCTCGAGCTTTTTAAAAAGACTGGCTGGAGTAGAAATGTAATAGCATTTTACTTATTTATTTTGTCCAGAGAATATGCTGAGGCGGCTAAAATATAACATAATAGTGATAATTAAGTGGAGACTGTACAGCAGCAGTACTTGACGGATTTACACAAAATGGAACATTTCTAGGGCAAAAATATATATATAAAGTTCCCCTGAATTAACAAACAACTGTCATGAATGGTCATCTCAGTGAAATTGAAAATTGTATGGAAATTTTAGAAGGTCTGGGTATTATAAATACTGTGAATACTTGTATTATAAATACTGTGAATACTTGTGAATTCACACAAGCATTCAGTAGAAACCTACACTGCACAAGCCTGCAAGCGTATTTCTGTCTATTCAGTATAAACCTGTTGCCTGCAAAGTATGGAAGAGGATGACCTAAATCAAGACATAGTGCTGTGACAATCTATGACATATAGCTTTTTGTTCTGGATATACTGCTGCTAAAGTAAAGGTAAAGGTTCCCTTGCTCGAAAGTCAGTCGAGTCCGACTCTAGGGTTGCGGTGCTCATCTCCGTTTCAAAGCCGAAGAGCCAGCGCTGTCCAAAGACATTTCCGTGGTCATGTGGCCGGCATGACTAAACACCAAGGCGCACGGAACGCTGTTACCTTCCCACCGAAGTGGTACCTATTTATCTACTTGCAATTTCTTGCTTTCGAACTGCTAGGTTGGCAGGAGCTGGAACTAGAGACGGGAGCTAACTCCGTCATGCAGCAACTCGGGTCTCGAACTGCTGAACTACCGACCTTCCACAGCCTGCAGTTCAGCGTCTTAACCACTTGAGCCACCGCAGTTCCTACTGTTGCTAGAGAGTCTAAATTTAATTTCTACTTTTATATATTATTCTATTTCTACTTCAGCCAATCTTTAAAAAGCTCGAAGTAGCTTTAAAAAAAGTGGGAACCCCCAGAATTTTTGGCTGAACATATGGACTTTGTTTTTATGCTTTTTGTTACAAAGGAAGGGTGAGACTCGTGAAGTGTCAATGGGAGAGTACATTAATATGTGCCACCATAGTTCTCCACTACTTCCCCCTTTCCATCCCTATTTTTCTCCTGAAAAGAAAAAGCTGGGGAAAGGGCAAATTCAGATGTTCAAAAGCCCCCAAGTACTCTGCTTATTTGGAGGAAAATATATTTGTCAACATGTAAAGTTGGCCCCTTTTTAATCCGGCCCCTCTGGCTACTTTACGTTTGTTTGTAGAGTTTCATTACCATATCCTGTTCATCAACAAACAACTTCTGTCCCGTAACTGCTTGGAACAGTTTAGCAGGAAAGTCACTTCTTTGATGCGCTACATATTCAAACACGTCATTTTTCCTGTGAAGGCAAGAAACATGCAATTACCACGTATTTGTCTAGAAAATCAGTAACTGTCCGAAACTGGGGTTTGGTTTCTGATTTTTGGAGCACAGGATTGCATTATTTCTGATATGCCACCTTTTTAACGTGCAGTTTCAACCTTTGCCCTCCCTCTTCCCAGGCCTCCATAGAGGAGGTGATGCAGTCACATGAGAGGCCTACACCAGATCTGGGGACAGTAAATTATGAAGCAATATAATTGGTACTATTTCTGAGGAACTGAATGTCAGAAACTATAATGTTTTCATAGATGAAGGGCCAAACCATGCCAAGAGCTGGAAGGTTCTTTGTTTGATCCACAGGGCCAAGTAGCAACTTAGCAAGGGCCTGCTGAGGATGCAGAAAGGGCACACGGGGGAAGGTTCTGCAGCACTGATCCAAATTGGGATAGAAGCATTCTGCTATTTCACAATAAAGCATATGCTGGAGAGCTATGCATAGATCTTAAAATATCTTGTACAGTTTGATCCTAAGACACACTCTGAGATAATCATCAATCGTGATACTGTTTTTCACGTGATAGAACAACCAGCTGTTCTTGCACAGTCAACCTGACTGGAAGCAGATATCAATCCCAACCAGCCTTCCTTTCTGATCTCCAAAACCCAAGGTCCCTTTTTCTGGTTATGCTGAAGATCAAACCCAGGCCACTGTACTCACTAGGAAGACAGCCCACAAAGACCAACAGTTTTGTTATGTTCAGAAGTGGCCCCTTCCTTCCCACATAATGTTTTTCCAATGGGACTTGCCAATTAACTACCAGTGCGTTGTATGTCAGCAAACGTCCTTGTCCATTACAATCTTTGCAATTTACTGTTCCCCGTCCAGAACAAGCACGACACCTGTGAAGAATGGCAAAACAAGACAATTTTCCATGGGGACAAATCATCAGCATGAAACCTAATATCCTTGGTGACATAATATAGTAATTATTTGGTGTAAAGTCTGTTATCCTCACTCCCCCCTTCTGGAGGAATTATAGCTTACTTTATATCACTTTATATAAATTATATCAAAAAAAAAAAAACCCTCCATATAGATTTTTCCTTCCTTGTTCTGCATGGTTTTGTATTTTCTAGATTAATATTTTGAGAAAAACACCCTTAGCTACCAGGGTTGGTCTCAGATGGCATGACTTTGATGTAAGAACTTTGTGACACTTGCATTAATTTTGACTGGCACTTTACTTCCTAAACATCCATCATCTGTTCCTTGACACACTAAAACAGTTGGTCCTCATGAATGGTTTAAGCTAACTTGACAAGAAATTTAAATTGTTTAAATTTCCTGAACCTGCAGCAATGCACTGTCAAATCTATTTTACTGCCCATTCCCCAAGTGTGTGTGTGGGGGGGCTTTAGGAGAGATGCCAGACTACTCATGAAGGATTTCACAATAGGATTTTTAAGACTTGAAACGCCCCTGCGGGGTGAAAGGGAGAACAATGTGGCTCAGGGCAATGGCAACAGGACATACAAATATTTCCCAACACAGTCCCATTTTCCCAATGTAAAGCCTCCCTCCTCTGACTTCTGTAGCTATTTGCCCTGCAGGGGAAAATATACCTGGCCCATCTGGGTCCCTGCATGTTTTCTGCCATAGAAAACTCCAGTGCGAGAGATCTGGAGGGGGAAATAGGCTACTCCAATCCCCAGCCTGAATTAAATCACATCACCTTCAGCATGGGTACTTAAAAAAACATGATGGCAGATCCATTCTTGAATCATGCATCTAGAATCACAGAATCATAGAGTTGGAAGAGACCTCCAGTGTCATGCAGTCCAAACCCTGCACAAAGCAGGAAATTCAGAAATACCTCTACACACACACACACACACACACACACACACACACAGAGTGACTCCTGTTCCATGTCCAGACGATGACCAAAGAACTCAAAAATTTCTGGGGAAACTGGTCTGGAGAAAAATTGCTTTTTGGTGGTCCTGATTAAATATATGTTCTAGCTTGCAGTTTTGTTTCAGGATCCACAAAGCTGGGGGTGAGGGGGAAGAGAAGCGGCACTGTAATTTAGCTTTTCTGTTGGTTAATGGCACACACTACTGAATCTGGGGACACAATGCAAGCTCAGCTTCTTATCCAGTTGTCTTTTTTTTCCTCCAGCACCGTCAATAACCAACAGATGGCAACATTATTGCTGCTCCCTGCAGATACTTCAATTACTCAAACACAGGCACATTTATAGAGCAGGGGTTTAACAACAACTGGCTGATTTGGGTGTTTTTCTGAAAAAAACAAAAAAACACTGGGGAGGGAAAAGTAATGTCTGCAGTCTAGCCCAGGATCACCTCTCGATTGCCTTATGACACGCCTTGCTTTTTATACTAACACAAACTCTGCAAATCTATACATCTATCTATACATCAGCACAAAACGTAGTGTGAGAAATCAGCCTCAGATCATTCACGGGATCCCAGCCCAGTTCGTGCAACATTTAAACCTGCCTGAAAAACAGAGGCTGTGATCACACACACAATTAGCCGTGCCACAGGCGTGAATGCGGGGCGGATTTAAAGTGCACCATCAGACACGAACATCTGGGAAGCGCCCTGCACCCGTCGGCAACCCGTTTCGCTCTGCCGCAGAAGCGGAGTAAAAAGACACCGGGGAAAGACCGGTAGTAAACGGGTTGCAACGGGCCACAGATGGAGTTTCCTGTGTCTGATCGCTCCAGCGTGCTCTCATGGCATCGGGATGCTCTGATCAGGCCATCCCAACTCCATGCCATTGTTTCCTCCGCCCCTTCTCAGTATGCGTATCATCGCTAACTCCATAGGGAACCCTCAGTGCAGAGATGTGATTGATTCCTCATTTAAGCATATCGGAAACAAACATTTTTTTAAAAAAAAAAAACCCGACTCACCTGCGGTTGCATCTGATCATGCAGTGGCAGGCTGTGCCTGCACCTTCCAAGGACTGCGTGATCATGCAACTGCGGGTCAAATTCCTTCAGAGGAAATAGCCTCACTTCCCCCCCCCGCCTTATCTCATGCGTGTGACCGCACCCAGAAAGGACTGCACAGCTGATGCTTCTTTGTATATTGTCTTACAGGGTAGAAGAAGATCCAGTTCCAGAACAGTGGCTGCATGTGTCACTAATGAATACTCCTGTTCCTTTACACCAGTGGCATTGATCCTATTGGGATTTAATTTTAAATGGAAAAAAAAATTAATATGCAGGGTTCTATCTTACTACTTTTCTTCTTGATTATAACCCCTCATGAAGGCAGATTAGCACCCTATTTGGCATGATGGCAAAACGGGTCTGAACAGAGGGATAAACGAATGGCCTCCCCTATAAGCAGAGGGCTGTGATACTGGCTGGCACTGCATCAGCTAGACTGGAAGACACAGCTAAGCATCGTTGATGGTAAATCTCAAGAGCTTAGATCTCATGTTCATAGGAAACAATGAGTGGCTTTCGCTGTTTGGACTCCACTCTTCTCCTGATGGATGCCTACGAAGCCAGATGGACGAGTTCATGTCACCACTGCTCATCTGGCTACAAAACCTTGGGACCAAAATCAAGGACGATTATTTCCTGTAAACTACACAATGTGTTACTGATTCGTACGATGAAGGGCTTTCGCTTCCTGACAGGGCATCAACACTGCAGAGGCAGTGATAACCAGGAGAGCTACCACCGAGGAAAGTTCATGCGGAGGAACAGAATGGAGAGCTTCGATGGCTGCCTTAATGAAAGGCTTCTGAACGAAGGAAGGCCATCCAGAGGAAACGTTTTTGTGATGAAGGTACTGTAGACAGTAGCCTTGCACTGCAGCCTCCAAGATGCTCTCCAGGCTGATCACTTTCTCTTCAAGACTTGGGAATTCATCTAGCTCCACTTGGAAGAAATCAAGCACATCCACCAGGAACACCAGAGCAGGTGGAATGATGCCAACTCCTGCACCGGCTGTAGAAGACCTTCCAGGTGGCCTTCTGGATCCTGTCCATCAAACTGCTTAGTAAAACAACAGATGGCACTGATCACCTGCAGTGTGGTGGGCTTTGGGTTAATTGATGCTGCTCAGTTTCCAGGAGCCATCCCACATCTGGATGGAAAACCTGCAGGTAATGTTCCCTCTAAGCTGTGAAGTCTTGTGAGCAAAAATTCTACTTTGTGAGCTACTGGCATTAAAGCTGTGAGCGAGTGATTTGGCGGCTGCATAAATTAGTCTGATCTGGAGCCCTCCTTCCTGAGCTAAGACAAAAATGTGTGAGCCAGAAGCTAAAAAACTGAGCTAGCTCACACTAACTCAGCTTAGAGGGAACACTGCCTGCAGATAATCAAAATCAGAGAATCCAGAGTGGCTGCTGGAGATGGATTCCCCTCCCCCTTTCCTTCATTCTTCTACTCGGCCTTTCCATGAATTTGCCCAAGTACCCACCTACCACAGAGAAGGAAAAATGCCTCCAAGAGATACTGTACTCTGGGGGGGGG